GCCGGTTCAGTTTGAGTTAAGCAAGAAATCAAGGTACAAATCTTAGATGTCTTTTCAAGTAAAATGTTGTATAAGGTTGAATGTTGAGTTTTATGTCGATTTGGTAATTTGAATTCCTAAGGTCTAGAAGAGGTGGTTTTGGGTCAGATAGTAGGCAAAAACCAGGTTGAAGATATGTAATAATCATGCACGTTTATTTTTGTTTGAAATATGATACAGAGAGAATTCAAGAGTTAAGGGGGTTTTCTGCCAATCATTGGAAGATAAGAAAACGAGCTCGACAGAAGCTCGTAATTGTACATCGAAACCTGATAAATAGTCCCTAGCGCGACTTCTCCGCGACCTGGGTTGCGTGCCAGGTCATGTGCACGTTCTAAGTCGTCCAGAATGGGTCGTATATATTTGTTTTTTAATTAGTTTAGAATAATTTTTTAGTTTTCTTTTATTTATTTTTTAAATACTTTTATAGTTGGTTTAGGATTAGAATTAGATTTGAATTTAGTTTCTTAGTTATTTAGTTTAGTTTATAAATAAGATTTAACGTTTTTATTAATATTTTGTTTATTATTGATCAATACTACACTGATAGACTCGTTATCTTTTAGGATTTAAATGTCGATCGATCCTTTTGTAATTTTTCCACGTCAAAATATGGTAAAAATATGAGCTTAATGGCCCATGTTTGGAGCTTGTAAAGAGTGGCTATGGCGGTTGCCGGTGGGTATCGGGAGGGTTTTTGTAAGCCGACCAACTTTCATGTAATGGCAAATCTAGTCCCTGAGGCTTATAAATCAATGCTTGGTCAGGATTTTCCTAAAAGGGGGTTTTTAAACTCGTATTTTGGCCACTTCTTAACAGTTGTTGAATGTTTTGGTGTAGAATGATTAAGTGGTCAGAATGGTTAAAAAGCTCTAATGATATGATGTAAAATGAAATATAATTGTTTGGTAATTGTTTACAATGAAATTAGGGTGTTGAATGGTTAAGGGGACTCATGATACAATATCATTCTGAAGGTTTTACAATCATTAAGAGCCATACTTTTTTTGTCAAACAAGATCCATTTATTAACAATTCAGATGTTGTCTCTTAATGGTACTATTATAATAAAATAAAAAAATTGAGAGAGAATGGGAAAATCTTCAAATTTGAAAAATATAACATATATGTTGGAGATGCTCTATGTAATTTTATAGGACAGTATAAAATTTTGGTTGTCTTTAATATGTAAAATGAGCATAATATTAAATATTTTAGAATTTAATTATATTATTAAATAGCATAAATACGTACGAATTATTTCTAATTGTTATACTATACCTTTATAATTGTATATTCAAATACGTATGAATTATCGACGGTCCCAACTCTCAACTCCATCCGGCTCTTTCGTGTATATAAATGAGGGTGTATATATATAATTTTATATAATACTAGAAGGATGCTCGTGCAATGCAGCGAGATAATTCTCGATTTTAATGTTTAGTTTTTTATTTTTTATCTCTATCGATATAATACGATTTTATGTGATTTTGAGAAACCGATAATTTTTTTTATTTTTGAATGAAATATAAATTTGAAAATAGCATAACAATTGTAAAAAATTCGATAATAATATCAAATTAACTATTTAATAGCTCTCATTTTTTTGGTGTAACTTTTTTAATTCAAT